CCGGTGCTCGGGTACTTGGTGTCGATGGCCATGTAGCGCCGCTACGCTCGATGATGAAGCATCCGCTCAGCCACCGGTAACGGCTGTGGATCCTGCCAGCGACCTCGCATGCATGATGCAACAGAGTAGGGGCCCGCATGCCAGTGAAAGATGGGGGGAGGAAAGTTGATTGAGAAAAAAGTCTGTTGGATCCCCTTCATTTGAGGGATTGAAGGGGGATTTTGAGAGGTTGATACAAAATATAGGGAAAGGGGATTGAGAAAGGGGATATGCTCAAGTTGTTGTTTTTTCAACCCAATCCTTTTAGTGAAAGGGGATTGTTTTTCTCAATCCGGTGGAGATGCTCTAAGAAAATAAAATTTATTTTAACCTTTGTGTGATGTATACAATTAAAAAAGCGGATGACATTTCGAGTATTTTCAAGTGTGTGTGTTTGCACACAGTGCCACCATTTTCAAAGTTTCAATGAGGAACACAAGGAAGTACTCGGTGGTGGGTTGGGGAGAAGAGGCATGGTTTCTTTCTTCTTACCTCAGATCAGCGCCAATCTGGCGACGTCTGCGTCCATGCCGTCGTTTCGCCTGTTCAACGAGAAGATGTGGCCGTCATCGACTGCGTGCACCTTCGAGAGGTCATGTTCCTTTGCTGCCTTGCCTTTCCAGGTGCCGCCGCCTAGGCTGTCCATGTCCAGGTCGGTCCAGTACACGTCCTATCATTTCTTTGAGACATACAGCTCCGCGTCCACCATCTCTGGCCCGCCCTCAGATCGTCTATTCATGTCAGGTCCACTTGACTGCTCATCGTCTGTGTCGTCATCCATGGGGCTCCAACCAAGCCTCACATAGCTAACGCAGAAGCCTTAGCGGCTCAAGATTATCGGCTGCCGACATGGGTTGTCGATGGCGTGAACACCTCAAGGTATAGCCGCACACACCCGTCTATGGCCCTCGGCGCCTTTCACCTCCTCTTCCTTGAGCCACGCGGCGAAGTTGGTGAAGACGTAGCGGTTGGAGTACATGATCTACAATGAAGAAAGTGGGAGAAGACGAACCAAGGGGAGGAGGGTTGAATGATTGGATAGACACAAAGATAAAAAAAGGTTGCATTGTGAAAGATAGTTTCCTTATCTGATTGTCTTAGGATGTAGAAACCACTTCCAGCGCTCTTGGGAGCAAGCTAGAGGCGCACACGGCACAGACACGGTCCTCTCTCGCTTGTGCTTGTACAATGTCTTAGGATGTATCTATTTCTAGGTTGCCCATGGCCTCGAGGGAAGGATGCACCATGATCCCTCCTCTCCCTCACCCTTCCCTCTTCCCTTGAACATCTCCACCTAGCTACCGAAACTTCCCCCATTACCTATGTTGAGGGAATGAGGGTGAAAAGGGGAGATATTGATAGGATAGAGTGAGGTGACGGCTTCATCCTACCTTGTGCAGATGGGATTAGGGCAAGGAAGGGATGTGTGCGATATGGGTTTGTGGGTCATGAGTGGGATGGATGCTACATGAGTTGAGTATTGGCAGTGATTCGATTTAATTTGTTGTGTCGCCAAGGTGTCCACTAAAAATCGCCTTGCTACTTTTGGTAGTAAGGTGTACATCACCATGCCTCACCTTACCGCTTTGAGAATATTGCGAGTGCATAGACTTGAATTCTTTTTTTATAATTATTAAAAATTTAACCACATATGCCAATGTTTGCAAATCATGATATGGAGTATAGTAGCTGGGAGATTTCTTAATTTTGCGTTGGCTGCTGCTCTCCCAAAGTCGTGAGGTCTTGTCCACCGGTGGCAGGTGGTCTTCTTCGACGTCAACTGCCCCAAATCTCTGCGGTGGCAGCCTACATCATCTCTTCATTGCCTCTGCCCTAGTCCACACAAACGGCCCAATCAACCCCTGTTATGACCTCAATGTAGCGGAGCGGTGACCCGGGCTGAAATGGACGCCAACCTGATCCACGATATGGGATGACGTCCCAAGGTCTTAGAACACGCCATCAATCCCATAATACTAGTTGTAACTACCCATCGACTAGTTGCTATTTGTTTTGTGCTAGTTGATCTAAGATCGAATTGAGCATATGACCTAGCGTAGATTGCATATCACAATCAACAAGCAAAGAAGTAAATAACAGATCTGAACATGCACAATGAATCGACATTCAATAGGAAGAACAGAGGACTACAGGATTTGCTATTCGTACTCAGTGCTAAAAGGGGAGGAAGACTAGCTCATCTTCATAGTTCTTCCACTTGGAATCTCGGACCGGCAAACAGGGCCCAAAGAGAGGGAGGCGGCAGAGACGAACACAGGAGGGAGGCTCGGCGCTTGTCGGAGGGACACGCTCTTGGGAGCGAGATAGAGGCGCACACACTGCACAAAATCGGTCCTCCCTCTTGTGCTCGTACAATGTCTTAGGATGTAGGATTTCTGCATTGAGTGTCCTGATGCTTAAGGGTGAAAGTGGCATGGATAATTCTCCGTGCCGGTCCGCCAGAATCGAATTTTAAGGATATGAAGAAGTGTTTTTAATATCCGTGCCAATGCAGATAATTCGAATCCGATCATATGCGGATGCGGTGTAGGATATGGGATTGGCGAAATCCGGCGGATATGGATTATCTGGTAATTAAACGCGGATTATCCGACGCTTATAATAGGATAATCCGAATATTTTAAGGAGCCCAAGCGGCAAGAATACAAGTTAACCCAACCCATAACACAAGCATTATTATATTGTAGCCCACTCGTTAGCATTGTGTTTTATGACTTTGGTTAATGAACTGTTTCTCATCATAAAAAACAACACGTAAGCACATATTATCTGACTTAAAAAAAATCCGTTTATGCTCCGACAGCGGTCCGGATCCGTACCATTTCCGACATCCTAAAAATATCCGTTTTCGTATCTGAATCCATATAATATCTGATCCGCTCCGAATCTGATCCAAAAAATGGAATAGGATATGAGGAAGACATTATCTGCTCCGATCCGATCCGTTTTTAATGCTTCTACCTCGACGAATATAATGGAGGAAGAAATTCACAAAAAAAACATAAAGAAGGAAGGCATGTAAAAACACAATCATTTTAAACAGACAGAGGAGGTTGACTGTGGGCTTGAAGGAGGTCACCGTTGACGAAGAGATACAATAGAGTGAAATTAGCTTAATATCATTTTTTTTCTAAAATAAATAGGAAAACTATCAGAAAAATCATTAGTACCGGGCTTACACATTTTGATGCTATCACTATCAATTTAGTACTTTTTGATTTTACTATTCAATTTCACCCTATGAATATCTATATTTTTCCTAACCACTCTAAAACTTGTATTTAAAATTTGGTACGGAACACATTTCATCATTATACGTTAAAACTATTTGTTTATATCTGATAAAAGTACAACTTATGGATAATTGGTATAGTTGGTTGGGACTCCAATTTGTGTAGGATTATTTAAAAGCTTGTTTGGTTGCTTCAATTATTATCAAACTTGCCCTGATGAAATCTTTAAGTACACCAGAGGAACATAAAAAGGTCACAAAACTGTTGCCCAACAAAGTTTGAATGTCCTCGTTCCATGGTATAAAAACAAATCATCGTTCCATAACATTAACATAAGAGTCAGTGTTTTTCTTTTGTCAAATACTCCTTCTGTCCTAAAATAATTCTGTGCCGATCCAACTTTTTTAAATTTACTAGAATAATACCCGTACGTTGCACTTGGTAAATGATCAGATGTAAAATCAAAGAAAACTAAGGAATTTTGTAGGACATCAGCAGAGTAGAGCACAGAAACAGGAGAGCACAGAAGGAGTTCGTCTCAAATACGGACGCGATTTGGTATCACCGGATAAATAATTACTTTAGAGTTTTTAGGCGTATAGATATAAATAGAATTAGATTTGTAGAAAATATCAACAATTACTCTAATGATATTTAGTATACGTCGTAAATATTAAAAATTTAATAATTATGTATATTTAGTTAAAGTTAAAGTTAAAAAACATTTGGCTTTTCAGAAAGTGTGAATGACACTTGTTCTTATGTGGTGTTTAAATACAGAGGCTAAAGTTTAGAGATGTCACGTCGGATGTCGCGTGGCGGTGTCACATGAGAGTGTTCGGACAGTAATAATAAAACAAATTACATAAGTCCTCAGGAATTCACGAGACAAATTTATTAAGCCCAATTAATCCGCCACTAGCACATGTTTATTGTAGCTTTATTATAGCACCACATTATCAAATCATGAACTAATTAGGCTTAAAAAATTCATCTTGTAAAGTAGTCGCAATCTATACAATTAGTTATTTTTAGCCTATATTTAATACTTCATAAATGTGTCCAACATTTAATGTAATAGGGACTCAACTTTAAGAAGAGAAACTAAACAAGACCTACAGGGAGCAGATTTTGAAAAGTGTGAAGGTCCCTTGTTTTGGGACCTAGTCTTTCCATTTCACACGGATACAACATGTTTTTTTTGGGTCACATGTTCCACACTTAGGGGGTGTTTGATTTCTAAACTTTAGTAGCTGTCCCATCAGATATTTGGACACATGCATAGAGTATTAAATATAGACTAATTACGAAACTAATTGCACAGTTTACGACTAATTTGCGAGACGAATCTTCTAAGCCTAATTAGTCATGATTTGATAATGTGGTGCTACAGTAAACATGTGCTAATGACAAATTAATTAGTTTTAATAAATTCATCTTATAGATTACTGACATATTATATAATTTATTTTTTTATTAATATCCGAACACCTCTTATAGTACCTTATATGACAACCCCCCTCAATTTTAGTCAAACGGTCCAGCCACCCCCTTAAGCCAACTTGTGACGCAGTCGCTTTGACTGGCAGTAGCAGGCGCTTCCACTCCCCATCCCTGCGCGCGCCGACCCCCGACTCTCCAAACCCCCCAAAACCCAAAGCCCCGCGACCCCAAGATACCAAAGCAGAAGAAGGGATGCAGCAGCCGATGCCCATGCAGCCGCAGGCGCCGGCGATGACCCCGGCCGCCGGAATCACCACGGAGCAGATCCAAAAGGTGCCTCCTTTCGCCCTCACTTCCCCCCCTCGCAGTTCTGATAGGGTTCGCATCCCTGCTTCGTGTGTGGTTTTCTTGGGGCGCCGTTTCGGTCAAAGATTGGATCATCTTGCCGGCTCCAATCTGATGCATTTCATCCGTATGCGCTGGGATCGATTACTGGTGGATCGGATTAGTGGATTAGTCAAGATGCTAGGTGTTTCTTTCTAGATTTCTTGGTGGATTTGACCAGCGTCCCCTGAAGCTGGTGTAGTGAGTTCTTTTGATCTATTGGATATTTGGTGTATGATGTTATGATCCTGCTGTCAGACATGAATCCTTTTTTTTTTTTTAAACTGTCAGACATGAATCCTGATGCTTGGTTGATAATATATATTTGTCTTCTTATGGTGGCGGCGCACCAAAGATTTTACCACACAAAGAATAGGACCATTCGTGTTCTGTTATAATAGGAGCACAGCATTTCAATGTATCATTTTTTTTCTTTGGTAATGGGACTTGAGTCCTTTCTTGTAGCATGGCCTTATGTCACATTGCTTCGAACAGAAGGAAGCTGATGCTTTCCATACGTGCTCTGTGGTGTTGACCTCACGCTGACACATTCACTTTGTAACCTGCAAATCCTTCTGTGTTTACATTCCCTTCTCTTGATGGCATAATTTCTTTGGTGTTGTGATGGAAGATGTCATGGCTCATATGGAGAATCAGTGGCAGCTTTATGGATTATATATATATATATATATATATATATATATATATATATATATATATATATATATATCATAAACTCATGTCTCTGCAGTGCTTGTTAAACTTCTGCTAAGCCTCAATTTATTTACAGGCTTAGCAGAAGTTTAACAAGCACTGCAGAGACATGAGTTTATGATTGACATAGCTTTCAAGTTCTAACTGTAACTAGCAGTAGTAAATTTCGTACTCAGTTCTGGGAATGCCTCAATATGTTTTCATTGGAAATCTAGTGTTATCTTTCTTATTTTCAATCTTCATCTTGTTGTTCAGTTAAAAAGGAAAAGTGACAGCTTTGTTAATTCGTTTTTTGGTCTCTCATCTATTAATTTCCTGCTCATTGTCTGTTTTTTCTTTGTATTTTGTACTTAAGTTTTCTAGTAGCTAATTTTAATTTTGTTAATCGTAGATTGCCAAATGCAATGCTTACAAATAGGTGCTGAAGAATGTTCATCTTTGTTGTACTTGCATAATTCCAAATTATTGTAGCCAAGTTGGTTCTTTCTAGAAAAACATAGAGCGAAATATGGACCTGATCTGTTTCAAACATAGCAATGGCCCCATGTTTATGTAGCCCACTGGACCAAACATTTGCAGTTCAAGAATATAGTTCCAGACAGACTCTAACTGATGTTTAATACTTCACATCTAACACTAACTATGCTTGTATTGTTCTTTATATGCTCATTCAATTGATTTATAAATATCTTGTGATAATCTAGAGTTTTCATGTATTCTCACAGAACTACCTTGTCTTTTATATTGCAATTTTATGACTTACTATCAATGTTTTATTCATTTTATATGGCACAATTGGCCCTTGTATTCAAGATTAATCTGTTTTGTGTATGATCTGTTGCATATTTGTAACTTTCCTGATTGATCCTGTTTTTATTTTTTTCTGCAGTATCTGGATGAGAATAAGCAGCTTATTTTGGCTATTTTGGAAAATCAGAACCTAGGAAAATTGGCAGAATGTGCTCAGTATGTATTTGGTTAAACCTCTCTCTTTTGTTTTTCTATTTGATATGACCATTTAATGAGCTAAAATTTGAGGCTTCCTGTTTGGTCGCTCATCCTTGCATTAATTGAATATATGTTTTAAACATGTCTTCATTTTGTTGTTAGCTTTCCTTGATCTTTAGTTAATTCCAAACATCTCTTGTTACTAACTTGTCATCTAATAATGAGGTAGCAATAGCATGTGTTATAACTTTGTTGTGTCATGTAAATATGTAACAGAGAATGAGCTACTAGAAGCTCAAAACTGTAGTGACATCTTTGATATTTTTGGCCCTTATATTTCTTATCTACAATGGTTTTGCTTGATACTCTGTTTTGCCTAGCCAAAAACTAGCTTTGCAGGACAACCTTGTTCAACTCAGATTTTCTTGCGAATGTCGGCATACAACAAATCTATTTTGCTGCACAGACAGGTTTTGCTTTCTCACGTTGTTCCATTTGTGAAAAGCTCCTCTGCCTAATTGATGATCCGCTGAATGAATATTCCCAGCCAAATTGACTCCTTTCCAGATCAAGCTACTTGAGGCATGAGTCAGACCCCTCATATTTGGAATAAAGTTGCCCTCTCTTCACCCCAATCGCCTAAGACTGGTGGCGCATATTGAATTATGGCTATCAACCCCTTTTGGTCAATGACGTCCCATCCGTCTATAGTGTCTGCCTAGAGTTGAGTAGGTCTAGAGCGAGATACAGGGGAGGAGGAAGGGAGCTGAGATAGCAAACCAGCCAAACACCATAACCTTTCCTTGCCTTGACTAGCTAGGATGGGTAATTCTGGCTTGCTAGCCTCATTTGACAACTCCTATATCCATCCTTATTGATGAAAAGCAGGGGTCACTTACTGTGTATGATTCCAAATAGAAAAGAAACATAGTGTACACCTTGGTCTAAACAATGTTGTAGATATAGCCATGCGATGGCGATATGGATGTCTCTATTTCTGTGTTGCCCATGGCCTCTAGGGAAGGATGCTAACATGACCCCTCCTCTCCCTCACCATTCCCACTCCCCTTGTTCATCTCCACCTAGCTGCCGAAACTTCCCCCGATTACCTATGTTGAGGGAATGAGGGTGAAAAGGGGAGATATTGATAGGACTAGTATACTGCCCGTGCTAATGCTACGGTATCTACCAAAATACTATATACATTATGTCGTTAAAAAAAAACTATATATGTCGTACTGCATATGAGCCCAACATATAAATAATTTTGCAACCATTTTTCCCCTCAAACAATGCAAGTCATTTCATTAAGAAAAGAATTTTACAACTATATGACATCAAGGTCTCAACCTGTTCTAAAGGGATGTTTGTTTCCCACCCCAAATTATGTAATCCAGCTTATAATGTATAAACTGAAACAAACATGTACATATTATGACCCTACAACCCAGGCATAGAAGCAGCCTCAATCTATCACAGAAAGCATCAAAGAGTCTACATTGATCAAGTAAAGTAAACCAAAAAAATGGCAGAGGGAATGGGGACAAAGAATGAGGTAGGATTTGTACAGCATACCAGATATACCACACTTCAGAAATAGGAAAGAAGCCCTTCAGTTTGCCCATAACCTGCATACACAGGAGCGAGGGAGCCACAGGCAGCAATTTAGCACCATTGTGGCTGCGCCGAACCACTGGACACCACGCAGTGCCTGTTGATCCTGGACCAACCACGCATAGCACTAAAAAGGAAAAAAAAAACCCCGAGAAAATAGCAATCAAACAACAAGGAAAGTCGAACCCCAATTCAAAGGGCCAGCACCACGTTGTCGTACCTCTGTCCAGGGCGATGGATCGGCCAGGTAACGTGCAAAAACCTCCTGTGCCAAGTCCACAAAATTAAACATCTTATTTCCAATGAATTTGGCAGTGCGTGGTTGGTCCTGGATCAACAGGCAGTGCGTGGTTCAGCAGGCCGCAAGCAACCAACGAAACAATGAATCATCCCAGCGAGACAAATGAGCCGGAGGAAAATTCCAAATCACCTGGAAAGCAAAGCAACTCACCTTCTCCATCTCGTTCCGGATCTGCAGGAGCTTGTCGAAGGAGAGAAGTAGGCCACGGTCGATGGGATGTCCCCAGTCCTCGTCGGTGCCAGCGGCCCTCGGCCTGTTACCCTTCTTTCCGGTGCCGGTGGCCGTCAGACTCTTGCCCTTCTCAGTACCAACCAAATCAGGACGGCGTTGCGAGGCGGGCGTGGTGGTGGGCACGGGCCTAGTTGCTGCGGCGCCCGGCAACCTATGGCCGGCGGCCTGGCGCCTGGCTCCCTAGCGCCCTGGCGGCTGGCGGCTGGGGTTCAGGTGTCGGCTAGGTCACAATCGGAGGAGCCTGAGTGTTAGTAGTATATATAGGTGATGATGGTATGGGCTGGACCTTGAATGCTATTGGGCTTCAGCCCAAGTTGCCATTTCTACCAACTAGTCATTCAACTAGAAAGGCCCGACTAGTCGTGACTATAGTTAATTATTTGCTAACTGATTGATTTACTAGGCAATATAATGGAATCGATGCACCTAATCCTTCTCCAGGGACCAACTTATTGATTTACCTTTGATTAAACATGATTAATCGAGCGATTTTAAAACAATAACATATGCAAATAAATAAGAAATGTGAACTCAATAATCATATAATAAATTTTAGCACCACCATGTATCCCCTATAACATAGCTTCTTTCATTGATAAAACAAACAGTTACTTGGTGTTAATCTTGGTATGCTTTGTCTAAAAGATTGGTTGCTACCTATACCCGAGTCTATAGTCCATTGCACCAATGTGGTTGAAAGAAACTACCATATATGCAAATAAACACGTAAATATGTTTTGAAAGAAACTACCATAAATGCAAATAAACACGTAAGATAAAGAAAGGAACTTGTATGCTGGCAAAAGGAAGGCTAATGTTGAATACTTATGGCCATAACGAATTATATTTTGCATATTTTACTAATATTTTTTTCACAAAACTCAATATGATGCAAACATGACAAGAATGTCTTTAACCTTTTCTTGGTATTGTTTTTCTGAGAGAATAGTGAATGCTTCATCTAAATATTAGAATGCAAAGTCTTCGGTGTATTCTGTAGTCATTCATAGTATGAGTTATTGACAGAACATGTGTTATTTAGTATTACTATGTGATACAGTTTGGCACTCAGCATGTAGTCCATATCACATCTAGATGGGTTACCACACAACAATGTTATTGTTGTACTAGTGCCATCTTAATGGCACTTCACTATGCAAAGTGACAGGGAATGCACTGGAACCGTAAAAAATATTGTTCAACTGGCTTCTTACCAGCAGTGCTCTTTTATACTTAGGTTCTCTATGGCCCTAGGCTGATGTTGTACTTAACAATGTGGTGTAAACTTTGTTGTCTTTGTGCTTGTCAATGTTTCCTTTTCTTGATTGGTGGTTACTAGATCTGTGGTTTAGACTTACTGAGAACCTTCACAATGATGTAGGATACAAAAAACTGACTAAAAAAAGACCATGTTTCTGTCATGCCGGTATGCCCAGCAGATCTTTTTGTACAAAAAAGCCAGGCCAAGCCTTTGGCCTGAAGCACTAAAAACATCTCACATATTTGCTGAGCATACACAAAGCTGCTGTTAGGAACCAATATATCTGCAGCTAATATACCCTATTTGGGATTATGCGATTTCAATCAATGATGTCTACTTGTTGGCAATTAACATGAAAATATTCAACTCATAAAATCACCCTTCACAAATGAAGTCACACGAGGACATTACAATAGAATAAATGCAAAATCTACTAGCCCTGTTCAGCAGGTTTTCCTTAGCATACATGCTTTAATAAACATCCATTCAGCATATGCAATCATGCCAGCAAAATAGCAATACACGCAGTGTGCTATAAGCTGTAACTAAGATACAAAATGCCATGGTTTTTAAGTTGTCACCGAGGTGTTGCAGCGTGACCTGGTCGCCACAGAGGCAAGGTGTCGCCCTGTAGCCTGACTATGTAAATTGATTGAGAAGTTTTTCCTGACGCAAAGCTCTTTCTTGTTAATAGTATATTTTTCTTCCATGAAACTTTCAGGTATCAATCACAACTTCAGAAGAACCTCTTGTATCTCGCTGCAATCGCAGATACCCAACCACAGACTGCTGTAAGCCGCCCTCAGGTTTGTCATTTCTAGACCTACCTGTGCACATATCCTTTCTACTCTATGCCCTCATGTTATTTCTGCAAACAGATGGCGCCGCCTGGTGCATTGCCTGGAGTAGGGCAGTACATGTCACAGGTGCCTATGTTCCCACCGAGGACACCTCTAACACCCCAGCAGATGCAGGAGCAGCAACTTCAGCAGCAGCAGGCTCAGTTGCTAAATTTCAGTGGCCAAATGGTTGCTAGACCTGGCATGGTCAACGGCATGCCTCAGTCCATTCAAGTTCAACAAGCTCAGCCACCACCAGCAGTGAACAAACAGGATGCTGGTGGGGTTGCCTCGGAGCCCTCGGGCACTGAGAGCCACAGGAGCACTGGTGGTGATAATGATGGTGGAAGCGACTAGGCTAAAAAGTCCCGATAATTTACGAGCTAGCCTTTTAGGTCGCAAAAGATGCTTGTATACTACCGATGACGAAGAGAGGATCATTCCTGTGCCCTTCAATGATAAGTGGCCGTGATCTTCGCATGGATGATGATCAGTAGCTGTCACGTTTTACCTTTGTTGTCAGTCTAGAACTTGTTGTCAGTCTGTAGAACAGACTTAGATTATTGTGACTTTTATTTGCTTGCTCTTTCCATACTGTACTTTTGTAGGCTCGAAGCCATATGCTAGTTTATGGTTTCGGGAGCTGGATTCAGTTACAAGTTGTGATGGCTAAACTTTCAACACTTCACGTAGCTGGATTCATTATGTTAGAGCTGAATGTCATATGAAGTCCTATAGCTTCCAAGAACTTAGCTACCATGCTTTTCCTTTTATTATATGCATTCTACTTGTGTCATGAAAAATTTTATTTCGCTGAACTTGGGCCTGCTTATCTAACAGCAAATCAACTAGGAAGTTTGCACAACCTTTAGGGCCCTAGAATATACTAGCAGGCTTATAGTGAACTCCGTTGATTCAAATCTTTTGAAAGTTGTGAGTCACCATTTCTTCTGAATGTCGTGCTAATACAATGGGGGCAGAGCTGGTGGTGGAAACCTCGACATGTTTATGGGAAGGATGAGAAAGCCATGTGCCAAGTTAGTGAAATTGCTTTGAAAAATCGTGCCATGTTGACGTACTCATTGAATAGCTCTTTTTTTTTTTTGTTAATGATCAATAGCAACAGAAGGGAGGTGCGAATGAAACTGCCGCCTCAGGGAATTTCCTTATTAAGATTTCCTTTTTGCCTAGTACAAAAACAAGCTGAGGATGATGTGGTGCTTTTGACTTGGATGCGAGTGATGCAACTTGAGCTTCGTTGATTCCTAATTCTTGGGTCCCTACTTCTCAAGAAAAGTCAACTATTGCTTTCCTGTTTTCAGGAACTTCCAACTAGTCACTTCTCGCTTTTGATCTCTTCCATTTCCCAAGTCCGGTAACCCGCTTTGCTTTCCTGTTTCCTTTTACGAAACCTTCATCACTACCTCTCCTTCGCAGAAACATGCTTAAAATGAGTTTAAACTCAGGTTTAAACAATCAAATGTACAATCTATCTTCTTATCCCGGCTCGAGGTGAGGAGCCAATGGAGTTCGAGGTCAGGTGTTATGCTAGATTGACTCAAGAGAGAAAAGGATTGTATAGATGATATACGTGGCTTGTATCTATCAATTGATCTAGACAAGGGTTTATGTTAGACGAAGCGGTTGGATTGAGTGAATAAAGAAAAAGTATCAAGAATTGTTGTTCTTCCACTGCTACAAGCTTCCAATCGGATAAAAAGATAGGAGTAGGGATGACCTTCCATGCAGATGATCCGTTGCCTTGGTTCAGTAGTCTGATACCTTTGTGGGGGTAGAACTGGACCCCGGATTGGATGGATGGATCGGCTATAGGTTTTGGATTATGGTAAAATTGCCTTATTAAAGAAAAGAGCTACTCCCTACCCGCCATCGAGGGCTTGACAATAATGATGTGATAAGTTTGATATATTATTATGATACTATGCTTTCATTGTCGGATTTGTAAGTCGTCTCCTGAAATAAATAGTGGTGGCTAGAAATGTGTTGCGGTACTGGCATTGGATTAACTAACTGAGTTTTGAAGTAGCTGCATGCAAAATGTGAGATGACTAGTTGCATTCCATCACATGGTGAAGATTATAACTATAGTTCAGTCCAAACACACAGAGACACATTATGCAACGCCTCTTGGACAACTATCATCTTTGGATGCTGCACTAGTTGCAACCTCCACTCCCTCCAGAAGATTTCACCACTCTGAATGGCCAAACAGCCAAAGTCAATCTCCGATTACCCATCCCCAAGCACACCTCAACCAGCTCACACCTTCAAAACAACACTCAACCCACCAAAACGAACGACGAATAGACCACAAACCAGCGAGAAGAAGCGGCAAACCTCATAAATATTAGGGTCAAACGAGGTGGCCGGGTCACGTGAGTAATTTCCCCAGCTTTTGCTGCGCCAGAAACCGTCAAGCACGTCAGAATCTCGCCAGGGAAGGACTGCTCAGCGTGCATACAAGGGCTAGCGCCCGACGTCCGGCCAAGGGACGTGTCTAGAAGCAGTTCCCGTGGGACGCCCCCGTATCGCATCCCACGCCCCACGCCTATCTACATCGCGCGCCAGCGTTCGGAATCGTGCCCCCGCGCCCGCACGGGGAAAACCACGTGGGTCCCAAATCAGTAGCCCCGCCTGCGGATGCCCACTGTGGAGGCGTCTCCCGGCCTCAATTGCTCCAGCAGCAGCACCAGGTGGCTGTGACGGGCCGATGTCCGCCAACCACCAACGCCCATTGCAACATATGCAATACTTGATCTACTTTTGAAACATATAGATGAAACATTTGCTACATACGTCTGAAACATATGAAACACTTGAAACATGCTATAGCTGTCGATGTTTTCGGACCACCGACGATTAAATTTATATTTGCGTGTCTGGCTCGGATAGTGTGCTCGGAGGACACAAGGGTTTATACTGGTTCGGGTGGAACGTCCCTACGTCTAGTTTGCTGCTGCTCGTGTTACCGGCACTTGGTTTGCAGTAGCGGTTACAAACAGGCAAGAGAGGAAAAGGATCCCAAGTCTCTGGTGAAAGGAGTGAACGGGTGCTGAGAGCTCGATCGCTGCTCGGCCATGTGCTCGTGTCGTGCTCTTGTGTTTTTATCTCGTGGTTTGGTCTCGTGTGGATCTGTCTCCCCTTTCATGGGGCGCCCTGCTTCCCCTTTTATAGGCGAAGGGAAAGCGTGGGTTACATCAGAGGAAAAGAAGAAGAACGAGAGAGAGAAGAAGGCTTCTAGGATCGCCGGGTCCTTCTTCTCCTTCATGTGGGTCCCATCGATCCTGTAGATGTCAACAGGGACAGCTCCACGTCGCGGTCCTATTCATCACTGGTGCCACGTGCAGGCGTCATTTGTCGGTCATGGCATTCCATTCCGTCTCAACGGACGTCGTGGTGAACTGACGCGCCTATCAACATTCGTACGAGGGTTAGGCAAAACAGCACAGGCACGCCCAACGCTGTTCTTGATGTGAATCCTCAGGTACGGCCCGTCATGGCCATGGGTTACATCGAGGCGTGTCAGTCTCTTTCCTGGTGTCAGAGTTTTGACCCAGACCCATACGCTTGGACTTGGAGTGGTTGGCGGTGATATGGGTCCTCGTCGGACGAGACCGAACCCACGTCCTTGGGATCGGGCGAGATGGAGCCCGCACCCGAGGGGTCAGGCGAGACGGAGCGCGCGGCCTAGGAGTCGAGCGAGACGGAGCACGAACCCAAGGGGTTGGGCGAGACAGAGCCCGCAGCCTTGAGGTCAGGCGAGACAGAGCCCACGGCCCCGAGGTCGGGCGAGACGGAGCCCGCGGCCTCGACATCGGGCGAGACGGAGCCCGCGGCCTTGGGCGAGACCCCCGCGGCCTCGAGGTCGGGCGAGATGGAGCCCGTGGCCTTGGGGTCGGGCGAGGCAGAGCCCGCGGCCTTGGGGTCGGGAGAGACTTTTTAATACGTCTTGCCCCATCTAGGAAAGTCAGTGTGGGCGCTAACTTCCTTGCTTTGGATATCCCTAATATCGATACCCGACAATAGCTCCTGAGCCTACAGAGGAGTAGAATACTCCTTTGGAGGCTCTTCTAGATGGGAGGATTCTGAGGGCCTTGGCCTTCTTTTTGTAGCCCGCGGTGTGTCCTGGTAGGGCGGCGGTTCCCTTTTGTCACGATCGGTCTTCTTGGGGGTATGTAACCGTAGGATTCGAGAGGTCGGAAAGATTTTTCTTGATTCCGGTCCCTAGGATCCGATCGGTCCATCGTTATACTACGACCACGCGTTCGGTCTCCTTGCGAGTCCAACTTTCCTCGAGCCCCTGCGCGTAGCAGGGGTCCGATCGAGGGTCGGCTCGTCTTTGTGATGGACGAAGCATGGTGCTCGGTGAGCTATTTAACGGGCTAGTCTGAGTAGGGCCCCGACTTCCCGTTCGTGGGGGTTTGGCATGGGTCAGCTGGTGACCGACTCCAGACTCTTGGCGATCAGTCCATATAGTTCTTGGGTCCGTTTGGCCGGTCTCATATAGTTCTTGGGTCCGGCACTAATTATGCAGGATGCAAGGTTGAAAGGAAGAGCACCTCGGGCACATGTCAATTGCTGGAAAGATCACTTGTTTCATGGTCATCAAAGAAGCTAGTGTTGCATTATCAACCACCAAAGCCGAATACATATCCGTCGGTAGTTGTTGTGCACAAATACTTTGGATGAAGGCCACCTTGAATGACTTTGGAATCAAGTTCAAGAAAGTGTCATTGCTATGTGACAATGAGAGTGCAATCAAGTTAACCAACAATCCGGTTCAACATGCAAGAACAAAGCACATTGATGTCCGCCACCATTTCATAAGAGATCACCAACAAAAAGGGGACATTTGCATTGAGAGTGTGGGCACCGAAGATCAACTTGCCGATATATTCACCAAGTCATTGGATGAGAAAAGGTTTTGCAAGCTAAGAAATGAGTTGAACATATTGGATTTCTCAAATATGTGTTGATGCACCCCCCACTTATATGACATGCCTCTCCTTCGAGCAATCCAAGGTAAAAGTTGATTGGCATGGTATACATCCTTACTAAGGACATGATTAGTGCATCTAGTCATCTTTCATATTTAATAGGCTCATTCATGAAAATCAAATGAATTTGATGATTGTATGGTACCACTATTGCTTCTATGCTTGACTTGATCTAGTGGTAGCATATGACTCGCTTGTGGGCTTGTAAACCTAGTGTTTGATCTAGAAAATGAGCTCTAAGTGTTTAACTCAACATGGTACAAGATAACCCTTATTTGGAGGTGTGACGAAGCTTGTCCTTGGATCATACCGAGTTAAATATCTTTGGCAAATGATCTA